TACGAACGAAACCGAAACTGCATTCGGGAGTTCTCGCGCTATGATCGGTCATGATCAGCGCGTTAAATTCCATCCATGCAAGCAAGCGACGAAGACTAGCGATGAATCGTTGAAGGTTTTTTCGTCAACTAAGTTTTCATGTTCGTCGTGAACTAGCCAATGCAAACCAATGTGATGCTGTCATTTTCAACGTTTCAACTGCAACGTTCAACGAGTCAAAATCGTCTGAAAGCTGACTAAGTAATAAAACACTAACGATTATAAATTAATAAATTTACAAAAAAAGACACCTTAAACATCAAGTAAAATTCTGATAATATCCATACTAATATTATAAATGCGAAAGTAAATCTGTCTGTCCGTCTCACTTTAATTGAAATTTGGTGCATAGATAGGCTAGAGCGTGAGAAAGGACATAGGCTATGTTTTATTGGAAAAAAGTGTTGTATAGGGTTAAAAGATATTTATTTAAGGGCTTCAACGCGAGAGAAGCCGCAATATAGTTTATGATAAGCCCCAAAATAATCTTTTGACCTTACGTGCAAATTCAAGTGAAACTTTTACAAAATTGGCTCTGAATTTATTGTCGGCTTTCAAATTTTTGTTTTTGTTTACTGAAAGACATAAAAAATGACTTATAAGTTAAAAAGTTAATTTGTTGTTAAGATAAAAGTGATTTATTTTGTTTTGTTTTTACTTAAATATTTAGTCAGTTCGTATTATGATATTAGGTAACAACTTAAATAGGTAATTTTATGTTTAATATTTAAAATAACCATGAATAATATTCAAAAGAAGAATTTAACTACTCAAATAAAACTTTTTTTTTACGCGGGAATAATCCTTTATGGAGCCCCCGCTGCCTTGTGGGTAGGCAGCAGGGGTATGTGGGAGTTACGACGTACCCACCAAAAACCCACGTTGCACCTGCGCTGTCACTTTGCCAATTGCTTGGCAATCATCTTCCGCAAATCCCGGCGCAACTGTGGCCTTCTCAGGCCTCCTCTCCCGGGTGCTTAGACACCCGATCCAGCCAAATGATGCCGTGTCGGTGCAATGAACACGGCACCCCTCTCAAGCCCCCCGCGGGGCAGCAGTTAGTCCCACATCTGCTGCCCGGTTGGTGAGGGTGCCGTGACGCCTGTTAGATATATAAAAGAACTCTTTAACGCCTATCCAGCCACCGACTGAGTACCGGACGTATGCGCCTCTGTGGTTCTTAGGCCGGCACTGGGGTGCTCCAGCATCTGCTCCCACTCGGCGATAGCGAGTGAGCGCAGCCTTAGTCTGCACCCCTTAAACTCCTCTAAGGCTGGCAGGTGACCCCGGGTACTCAAATAAACCTACTTTAAGTCTTTTCAAGGTGTAATTAATATCTTTTTCTTAAATCAACCCCATTTAAGTTGATTATCATACCAATAAGTGAAAATGTCGAAGACTGCTTATCTAAATGATATAAAAATATTGATCCTTTTACAGAAATTTCGGTTTCGGTTTCGGCCGAAACTAAGACTGTTGCCGGAATTGTGTCGGTCGTAAAAACCAGTTTCGATCAGACACTAAAGATTTGTTGTAGATGTGTTGCTACTTGTAATTTTACGAAATTCATTTATTCTGCATCTTAATCTGTCTACATTTATATATTTTGCAAAATGCCTCTGTAAACTGAGTTAATGGTACAGATATAATTGAGAAAGATGACGTAAATCACTATGTAGTGTATCCACAAATCCCTCAATCATGTTCAGATTCAAAGAGATAAAAAAAAGTTGGATAAGAACTATGGTAAGTGTAAATCTATAAGTTTTATTTCTCGTCGGATAACACATAGGAGTTTTGGATGAAAAGAAATTTTAAAACCTTATCAGTATTTATTTATAATGCAATACTTTTTTGACATACAACAGCTTATATAATTATCTGCACACATTACAATCATTACATTTTTAATCAAACATAGAACAAAATCAATGAATGGGTTCAGGCTGTTGCGTAAGAAGGAGGCCAAATCTCTTTTTAATGGTTATTCTTTGCCTAGAATACTTGTCTTCTGGTGAAAATCGGGCTGAAATGACAAATTGGAATATATAAAACCTTTAAAAAATAAAGTTACGAGTCCAAATTTTTGTGTTATTAGTTAATTATTTTATTAATATCGCCTGCTGCTATAGCGCTGCCTATAGCGCCTGTGCATTGTATTATACCACTCCATAAAGTAAAAAAACCGCATCAAGATCCATTGCGTAGTAAGTATACAACACTATGTATGTTTAGATCTTTAAAACTACAGACAGAAAACGGGACAACTTTGTTTTATACTGTGTAGTGATATAGGATTAAAAGTATATTAATCATTACAATAAAAATTTATGTGTCTTGTTTGCGAGTCCCAACTACTTATTTGTAGGTAAGATAACTAAGCTCATTAGAAACAGAAGTTAATATTTAAAAAAACAATAATGCTTAACAAGTGTGCCTAAGAATAATTTTAGGTTTGAAAAGGTAACAATACGAAATTTTATATACCTGGATGAGCAGACAATGTTGGCTTCCCTCTAGGATCTATAGTCTGTAATAAAGAATAATAAATTAAAAACATAACAGTGGTAAAAAATTTGCTTTTAAAGGTTAGAAATACTATTTTTAATACCGCTAATGTATATTGCCTATCACCATTCTCATTAATGTAATATCTTAAGTACATTTTGATTATATTATTATTATTTTAAGATCGTAAAAAGAATCTTCTACCCAGATCAAGAAATTACACGAAATAACATGCCTTAAGTAGTCACTTAATTTATTTTCTTCTGTCAAAAGCTGGTTAAACGTCAAAATGTATTTGAATTAGGGATGTCGAAAAAGTATCGATATATTGATATTTTTATTTTTATACATCGATACTTTCAGCCAATATATATTCGGATCGTATATATTTTCTGGGTTCCGTACCCGAAGTTCAAAACGGGACTCTATAACTAAGACTCCTCTGTTTGCCTGTCTGTCGGTCTGTCCGTCTGTCACCAGGCTGTATCTCATGTAAACGTGATAGACAGTTGAAATATTCACAGATGATGTAAACATTGCAACATACCTACATGATTCTTTTACAAATCCTTACTAATATCGTAAAGGCGAAAGTTTGTATGTATGGATGGATGTTTGTTACTCTTTCGTGCAAATACTACTGAATGAATTTTAATGAAACTTTAAAATAATATAGCTTAAACATCGGAATAAGACATAGGCTATAATTTATATATATATATATATATATATATATACATATATATATATATATATATATATATATATATTTTATGTATCTGTCTTTCTGTCTTAATGTTATACCTTTAGCCTATTCTACGCAGACGTAGTCGCGGGCAGCAGAAAGTATTTAATATTTGTCATACCCGTTTTCCGATAGGGTACCGATCCTATTACCAAGACGCCTATATCTAGGTTGTACGTGCCACTTTGATTACGAGTGCTTCGTTTTGAATTTATGCAGTAAGCTGGCTCTTGGTAAGCTTGACAAAATCCAGGCAAAGTGCCTACGTATAATTACTGGGGCTATGAAATCTTCTCCTATTAATGCCCTCCAAGTGGAGTGCGTGGAACCTCCTTTAAACTTCCGTAGACAGTTTCTTGTTAACAGATTTTTCTCCGATGCTGTTCAGTTCCCCTCTCATCCCATTTTAATATCCTTAAGTCTACTTTCTCGCTCAATTCACTTATCTACTTGTTGTTCAAACAAATTCAATTTTAAAATTACTAGCCGCTACCCGCGACTACGTCTGCATAGAAACGAAACAAAAACGCAAACGCCAACCAGCGTCGCCCACGAAATGTTCTCATCGATCCGGTCGAGGAAGGGGACTTAGATACGTCGGACCCACCTGCGGGGTCCCACCAGATAACACTTCACCCACAGTTAGTGTAACAATAAACACATCAGTTCCCTCGCCTCCGAACACGGTGAGACCAACACAACATGTACACAAGGTACATCCGCGTTCCAGGGCGGTTCTCACCGCTCCCATCCACCGGTTAGGTAATTGCACAGTCGACGGCCATCGGGGTTTCGGTCTGAACCGCGACCTCGACGGCCCTTAGATGATACCATAGTCAAACGCACGCATGAGTACATGCGCGGCCTTACCCAAAGCGGAGGGCCCAAACAGTGGGTTCTGGCTAGCCCGGCGGTTCTGCATCAGATGAAGCTTCAATAGTCTCGGGACTGCAAGCAAAAACATCAGTTAATACAAGATACAAGAAGGATAGTTTTGCAATTGGCCGCTGCAGTGGACACTGCGACGTATGTTACGCTAGGACAAAAGATGGCGGCCTTAGCAACAGCGTTGTGGGAATTCTTTGTCGAGCATCAGGATTGCTATTTCTGCTTCAGATTAAAGTTAATCGAAACAGTCTATTACACACAGAGTCCGGATCTAATGCCTAAAACATTTCAAAAAACAAAGTGTTGTTCTGATCGTCTATTCTTATTCAGAACAATTCTGGAACTAGGCCTTCTTTCAGAATTTTGGAGATTCGAATCTGATACATCCGTACTTATTCCATTACCATTACCATGACTACCTACTTCTACATATGCTGATTATGTGCAGATTGTTTATCTTTTTCGATATTATTTATTATTCACCTATACATAATTTCCGTTACTTCAAAAACAAGCCTTCCAATTTCTTAGGATTTGTTCCGAAAGTCATTTGCTCCTAATTTGTGTTTCAATACGCAAATTATCTTTGAAATAAAAGAATGACAGACCGACTTGACGTTTATCTAAATTGGAAATTGTTTCATATGTTATCTATGCAACAAAAAGTGTCTGTGTTGTTTTGTAAATAAATAAATTTTGGTTTATCTTGTATCTTGTACAGCTAGACTTGTCGTAATTGATTAATGAATGATTTACGACAATTTTTCATATATTTTGCATGCAGCGTACTTGGTGCACCATTTTTAGTCGGTTCCCAAAGATGGCGAATCTTCCCCCACGAAAACTTTGTGGTTCCACAACATCTTCAAAACAAGAAATTTCGCCCTTTCAAATACTTGTGCAAATGGGCTTCCCCAGAAACCGCGCGTAAATATCCATGCTTGGGCATTTAAAGTATATTTACCATTCTTTTCAAGATAATAATAGTCCATATTTATTATCAGATTAAAAGCTTTAGCTGCTACGGGAAACCGAAGCGTACAGTTGGCGTCAGACTGGCTCCTTACGCATGTAAATGACACATCACTTGATAAGGAAGAACCCAGGGAGTACGTTTTGTATGTCAGTCCCACTGGACAATTACTTGATCAGATTCACGACTTCAGAGAAAAATCAAAATCAATATGTGGATGGAATGGCGCTCTAAATTTTCCACCACATATCACCTTAGTTCCTTTTTTTAAAGTACGTTTCAAATGTATTAATTTATTATTTCCTAATTTAAGGTGATTATAAAAGATACACTTTCAAGTGTTGTATTTTTTTAAACACAGTATCTTTTTTAATCTTGTTTATTGCATTTATGTTCCCTTTTAACCCTTTCATTGGTATCTAGTTAAAGGTCTTAATTTTTATATTATTTAATTTTTACTCTGCACAGTATAGATCTTGATTTTAAGTATTGTAAAGATTGCAAGGGTCTGTAAAATATCAATTATCATTTTGTATTTTTAAAATATTAATTATTGTAATTATTACTTAAAGTAATATATTACAGGCTCAGGATGAAGAATCATTACAGCTAGCAAAAGCAGTAAAACATACTGTTGAAAGTGTTGGATGTCCACCTACTTCACCACTTAAGCTAGAAACTTATATTTCACCTAATTTCATTGGCATGTTTATCTCTGATGAATATGCTGAATATTTCAAAAATATTTCTATCCAATATGTAAAACAAACATCCAAAAGTAAGTTAGTCTTTATTACTTGTATAGCGTTTGCAAAATTTTCTCAAAAATTTGCATTTCCTTTAATTTTACCAAAGTTATTTCAGTGTAATGATTACTAATCATTTATCTTATGTAGTTGGTGTGATGACACTGGATGACCAAAAAGCTTTTTCAGAGTTTATTTTTTCGATGGTTAAAGTTCCAATAGCTTCTTATAGTCTATGTAAGCTATATTTTACTTTACAGTTATTACCTATTTATTTAGTTTTTCATTTCTTGTTGCATTTTGTTTTTGTATTTGTATGTTTATGGCTGGAATGTTAAGGCTTTATTTTTAATATTGTCCTATTAAGTGTTTCTTCATCAAATTCTTATTCACAAAATTGGTGTTTGATGCTTTTGTTTTTCCAATTTAGATAAAGGGCTACCTTTCTAGCTTTATAAGTAATAATCATTTTATTATATTATTTCAATTTCATTTTCAAATTTTTGTATAATTATTTCAATTTCATTTTCATATAAAACAAAAATAATTAAAATTTTTTTTCATTTTGAAGCATTTAATTTGTTTTTATTTTGAAATAGCTGTTTTTTATGTATAACAGATGGTAATAGCTCAATGATTCATTGGAATAAGGCATATGTATTGCTGTTATTATATTATTTTATTTTGTTAAAATGAGCTATAACTATTTTTAAATAAGGAAGTCTTTAAATAGTGATTATTAGATATCATCAATAGTGATTATTAGAGATCATTTTGTAGTCATTAGTGATTTGATCTTTGCCTAAAATAATAAATATGAAAATAAAGAAAGATTAAACTGTTGAAAGTTGACTGTGGGAATTGAATCCAGGGCTTCCGCATTCACGCCCAGAAAGCTAAACATCTGATTGCTACATGGACGAAAATCTGACCCTATTTTACCTACTTACATTGATTTTTCCCATTTTAAGTAATGCTTGGTGCAACTTTTGATGTGTCCTAAACACAAACAATTTCTTTCGTTTTACGGTGATAATTCAAACAAGAGAAGGGCGCGAATCCGGAAAACGTGGGTACGATTCCCGCAGCGGCGAAAATCGTTTTAACCATTTTTTCTACAGAATTTAATATTTCATCTTTAGTGCAATTATCCATTAGTCCAATATAAAACTAAAATTCGTTACCCGAATTTCAACTTTTAAGTCCATACGCTTCAGGTACTTTGGTGACTTAAAAGTGGTTATTTGTCCACCTCCAGATTTATTTGTTCAAATATGCCTTGTTATGTATCATTCTCTTTAAGAGTGAAATTAATATTTCATATTTCAGCTTCCAATCTAGACACGCTTGGGAAATCACTGCATATGACACTTGCGTATCACTTCGACATTACCGTATATGAATCGCTTAAGGCGCTTGCCGGGGAACTGGAGCTCCCAGAACAGTCCAGTTGGGAGCTTCGGCTCTACTCGAGAGATCCTCGCTTTGCTCATCATCAGGTAGCCTTAAACTACTTTTAAATTATCCATACTTGACGAACCGATTGGCGTAATGGGTAGTTTTCGTGCATCTTGCGCCAGAGGGTGTGGGTTCGATCCCCACTACTAGAAAATAGTGTGTGATAATCGTGTAAGAATATTGCGTGTCATGTGTTTATATATTTATAATATGTATTTATTTATAATTTGTATCTTTAAGGATGTTTATCAGTTATCTAGTACCCGCTTGTACTACAAGCGTTGCTTAATTTGGGACTAGAAAACGTGTGAAAAATAAAAAAAACAGTTTTTACAAATAATATAAGACTTATTTTGTGTGGCCCTAGTGGCCACACGTAATCTTGCGCTGTTGGGTTGTTTCATGATGGGAAGGAATGGATGGTCCGTGTCTTTTAAAGGCGCTGTATGCAGTGATTTTTAACTATTTGGGTGGTGAAGTATGAGGAAGTGTGGAGGGGTAAGGCCGCTTAGAGGCGCGAGGCTAGACCAACTCATTCATTACCTAATGTGTGTGTAGTGATGGGCCGTAGCATACTACCGATAGTATCATGGAAGGCTTTCGAAAATGTACACAGATGATCCCTATAATATCTTTTATAGACCATGATTGTATTTTACTTTTATATTATAATAAGAATAATAATAAACAAACAAATATAAAGTATGAGAAAGCAATCAACAATTTTAGAAAATCTTCTTCCTGTTTATTATTATTTTTTAATTAAATGGAAAAGAAATTGATTAAAAATACATCTTAAAGCCAAATAAATTAATAAAGGCAAATTACTTATAATTATTATTTTTTGTTTTTATGGTTTATATTGTGATATTAAAGAAATGGCTCATAAAATTTTTGCAGAAATTACGAATATAACTTTTTTTATTACAATTTTATTCTTCAAGACTTACTATGTTATATTACTTTTTCAACTAAAATGAAATTTAAAAAAACTGTAGATAAAATCCTTATTTGTATCGATAAACGTCAGCAATTATAACTAGAATCGAAATTTTGTCACTTTGCACAGACCTCGCGTAGCCTGTTGGTCATCCGTCATCCCAAGTTCAAACCACTCATCGAGAGGAGTTGTATTTTTTATATTATTTCCACTTTTAATTTGTTAGCCAGTTGTTAGTTAGTTATAAAATGGCTTAATTTGGGAAATAAACAAATTATAAAGTAATTATTTTTCGTGTATAAGATAAATTTTCGTTTTAGGGTGATCAATTAAATAAATTAATAAAAAAATAGATAACGTTAAAAATTTTAATACTAAAGGTTGGTTTATTTACTGATACATTGTTCTCCAACTGTTTCAAATTTGAACAAATACAATAATATTTCGTTGTAATTATTTATGAAAATAAATAAATCAACAATAATTAAATGGTAATTAAGAAATACTTCCAAATAAGAAAAGCAACAATAAGTACAACAAAAAATTAATTAACAACTCTTAATACATACAAATAATTCATAAATACTAAATATGTGAATATATATTTTTTAGTATCGTGTTTTCGAAGGTCTAATAAAATTAAAAATCTCAATGATAAATAAATACGAAACATATATCGTAACGGTGAGCGGGTGATGAGCGGCATAGGTCCATCTAGCAAGGCGCCTCAGCGCTCTCTGTTCAGTTTATAAGTGGGCGATACAAATCGTATCAGATATGAAAACTAGATATTAGTACAATATCCCAATATCGCTTACTGGCTCGTTCAATATCTATGTATTTTACAATATCTGATATTTCCGAAATCTGATGTACCGTGCTCGCTCGCTATACCGACACGAATCGCGATACGGTGATATCATACGCGTTTGCCACAATATCTGATTTTTAAACAGATTTCGAGAGACAAAGCGCGTGAGATACAAATACTCACTAGTTAGAGCGGGACGGCAAGCAATGCACGATATCAGATATCGAGCGACAAAGCGCGTGAGATATAAATATTTACTAGTTAGAGTGGGACGGCAAGCAATGCACGATATCAGATATCGAGCGACAAAGCGCGTGAGATATAAATACTTACTAGTTAGAGTGGGACGCGAGCGACAAAGCGCGTGAGATATAAATACTTCCTAGTTAGAGTGGGACGGCAAGCAATGCACGATATCAGATATCGAGCGACAAAGCGCGTGAGATATAAACACTTACTAGTTAGAGTGGGACGGCAAGCAATGCACGATATCAGATTTTTTTAAACAGATATTATGAATAAGTTAAGTAATTTTGAATCTTAACACCATGCAAATAAGATCCGTTTCATTTAAATACTAATCTTGGTATCAGCGATTACTACAACGATATTATTATATTTTTATTGTTTTGTTTAGCCTTGAGCCGTAACGGGCGACAAAGCGCGCAGTTAAGTAATTTTGAATCTTAACAGCATGGAAAAAAACTCTGTTGCATTTAAATACGAATTACGGTATTAACGATGTCTTTGAAATTTTGTTCAGCCTTGAGCTGGATTGCATTGGTACTTAACACGTAATAGTAAGGGATGCCAACTTACTACTTAAGAATTTTCTGCCTAAATTAAGGAAGAAAAATATACAATGTAAATTTTTTAGGAGGTAAATTTTTTGTGAATATTTTTATTAGCTGAATTTTATTCATATTTTTGGAAAAAAATAAAAGTACACAAAAAGAAAAATATAATTTAATAGTGCTGTGCTGCTTTGGTGGAAATCAGACCAAGGCTTATGTGCCTTGTGTGTATATTTTAAATTCTTCCGCCCTAAGCTATAATACTGAATGTATTATTTCTTACACAAATAATAAAAATATTGCCACTCGATTGCGATTGCGTGTTCTAAAAATATGTTAAAGTCAATGATTAAGCGGTACATAAGACGTTAAAATAAATCATTTTTATATACTTCAATTTATATTTTTAATAATTTTTTTTTTTTTTTTTTTTTTTTTTTTTTTTTTTTTTTTTTTTTTTTTTTTTTAGAATTCTATTAATCAACGTGGATAGGGAACCGTAAAATATCTAGATATTAAAATACATAGTTTCGAAATCTGATATTTGAAATCGATATCGGATTCAAATACGGTACTCAGAAAAAGCGATACGACCCATCCCTAGTTCAGTTCAACGTGTGGAGTTGGAAGAGAAACGAAACAACGCCGCGGTGGTGCGGGGTTTTAGCCATCGCGTTCGAATTAATTTTAATGAATTAAATTAATATTTACAAATATCTTACTTCAATCAACAAATTAAGACAACAGTCCTTTTTATTAATATATTCTACACCACTGATATTAATTTCATTAGGATTTGTTAATTTATTATATCTATTTTTTTATTTGAATTTCACGTTTAGAGGTACGTTCGTGATTTTTTTCTATCGAGAAAATATATCGAGAATATGTTTTTAAAACAATGGTCCATTAGAATGTCAGATCAAGATTAACATATATTTTTTGATTGATTTTGTTAAAATTTTTTTTTGAAAAATCTATTTTTACTGCATACAGCGCCTTAATATTGCATTCGGACAAATTGCACAAGTTGGAGGAAATAATTTATCAAAAACATATTTTTTACTCGCAACTTACTTTACTGTGGTACGACAAAACGCAAGACACCACTCTTGCGTTTCTTCGATTTACCTCACTCAGCATGGAGAAAATCAGGGCCAATTCCCAATGACTAAAACAATGGTATATTGTTAGGAATCGAATTTAAATAATGTATTCAACAGCAATATGATTACACGCTACATAGCATTTAGTCGTAAATAATATATGCTTCCACGAATCCCACCCTTTCGTGCATTGCAATGAGGTTATGTATGTGATCCTCACCTCGTGGAAACTACCTTTCGTAATATCGTATTAGATGATGCTTTCCTTAGTCTCCGGACCGCAGGAGTTGTTTCCGATAATAAACACACATTTAAGGTAACTAGTGGACGCCGAGTGGCCGAAATTCGCATAATTAATTTAAATTATAAGTTTGAACAGTATTACTCCATTCTCCAATACAACACACAATAAATAAAAGAGTATATATTTGTTTGTGAGTGTCAAATAAATGGTAGTGTTGTGCATAATACAAAAAAATTAGCATTCTGCACTCCTTCTCTATAGTGTTAATAAATATATATTATAATAAACTATAAATGTGGGAAATTTCATACTCATCCGTCCGCGCAATTTTTGTAAAAAGGGGTACAAAGATTTTGCTTCACGTATTCATATATATACAATTATATAGATACTAATGTAAAGTAACAGCTTATGTATAGCCCATTGCTCAGTAAAGGTATCTTCTGTACAGACGGTATTAGGGCATAGTCAGCTACGCGATCCCACTGCGGTTTGGCGGACTTCAAATATATTCGAAAAAAAAAAAATTTAATCGATATTTCAAAAATATGCAAGTCTCCTCGAGATGTTTTCCGTGCGTGATAAGTCGGAACTTAAAATTACAATTAACAACTTTATTGGTGCCGACATCTAATTTGATTGACCCATATTTGAACTACGAGTAAGCTTGCTCGAGTATATTAAATTAAAAGCGAGCGCCCGGACACTGAGCTATCACGGCACTTTATCTTATCGTCTATCGAATCAGACACGGGTATAAATCTACTACTGGTGGGATCACGCAGCGGCATCTACTATTGCACGAATTGGCTGAGTCGTCTACAACCTCACATAAATCCGGCATGAAGTTTTAATCGGCTACGGCTTAAACACACATTTAATTACAAAAGAATTAAGTCTAAAATCGTAACATTCGCTAATTAAGTGGGAACTTCATTACACAATAGTATAAATATAGCATCTAAGTTACGTATTAGTTAGTGACATAAGATAGACTTTTGACACTATTTAATTCGTAACTGAGATCGGTGTATGGTCTAGCGTCCTAATTTTACCGCTTTCGTTTTTTATTAGTATTTCTGGGTATAAACTAAATTGAATTCCTAATTTTCTAAATATAACTAATTTTTAATATGCTGTATGTTATTTGAATTTAATACATTTAAGGAAACTTCCGTCTAGAGATACATAAGTATCAAAACTCGTGTTATCGATAGATATTGAACAGATTATTGGACGAAACAAATAATATCACGTCTGACGTAAATAGCTTAGCAGTAGATTTAAATCGTCTTAGCTTCTTAAAAGTATCACATGACTAATGTTTGGAATCGTATCATAATACATTTATTACGATATACATTTATATTATGATATATTTTTCATCCATGTTCTGTGGTAGGGCAATGCGTCTTCATTGTTACACGAATGAGTACGTCCGTCCGAGTAGTCTGGTGCGGGAGAGAGGTAGCTGGGGCCCACTTTATTAAAAGGTCGAAATGCATCTGCAACCCTAACCATGTTCCAAATTTCCATTGGCGACGGTAAACATCAGGTGAACCACCCAGCTCCCTTGCTACCTTCTCACATAAAAAACCCAATTGATGGTTCTCTGCTTAGGCATCATGGGTACCTTACTGTCTACTTTAACATTTTGTCTGTAAAACAACTTACGTTATTTCACACTAAAAGTAAAGTAACAGCCTATACAGCCCCTACTGCTGGGCAAAGGCCTCCTCTATACAGAGGGTATCAGGGCATAGTCCACCACGCGGCCCAAATGCTGATTGGCGGACTTCGCATATCTTCGAAATATTTTTTTTTTTATTATTTCGAAAATATGCAGGTTTTCTCACGATGTTTTCCTTCACCTCGGAGCACGTGATAAGTCAGTACTTAGAGTTAAAATTTCATTGGTGCCGGCACCGGGGATCGAACTCAGATTGCTCGAGTATATTGAATTAAAGGCGAGCGCTCGGACACTGAGCTATCACGGCTTTCACTAGGCAAACTTTTTTTTTAATATGAAGAAACATCACAGAAATGCCAACATCACCGAAATTAACATCTATTCTATATCGATATAAGAACTCGTTTATCTTGAAGCCCACTTATCGTTTCAAAAGCTACACATATAACCAATGATATTATATACAAACTAGTGGACCGGACAGACGTTGTCCTGTACACACGTCTTAAATTCAAAAATTTCAAAGTTTTTTGAATAATTTTGTGAATCGATTCCACCTGAAAATACATAAATATATGTACCTATATAAAATACAAATACGACGTAGATATGACACTTGTGTACCGAAACTGAAGCACTAAAATTCCGCTACATGGTGTAACTAGATTGCAATTCTATAGACTACTATCTCTTTCCGTGTCATACTTTCTAAATCATCTGTCATATTCACGAATCTCATATCATATATTGTAAAATGGAACAACACATCTTTATTGAAACATCATTGCATTATATAACTTTAGAAGTAACACATATGAGTATGACGCTAGGCCCCGTTTTCTTCTTTATAGATATATCTAAGTGCTTTCATTCAACAATATTAATTCAATTCAACAATACTATCTTATTTCTGGCATTACAACGTGTTTACGATTGATATCTTCTTTTTTTTACTTTTGAAGATTCCATTTTGGTATATTTCAGCCAAAGCTCGGCCGGATCTTTGACCACGTCAAAATAAGAACTTCATGAAATCGTCTCGTCGTTTTAGACGCACTTCAAACTTCGCGTCAATTCGTGGTCCATGAAAGTTGTCATATTTTATATTTTAATTTTGAAATTTCACAATATCAATAAAAGGACACTACAAAATTATTTTTCTACTTGTCTAGTTATTCAAATAATATACTACCAAGTTTTCAGGTATAAAAACTATGTTATGATATCATGTAGTTGTAGGTAAATGAAGTATCTGTTACGCGTTGCGTCCAATCGTTTAGACAGCGTTAATGTATATTTTGTGATTTATATTGTAAAAATACGACGTCTTTAGTCTAGTCTTTACTCTTTTTGGACTATTTTGTTATGTCATTTATGTAAAATTGTTAATATTTTTAATAGCGATCTTGTTGAACGATTTTGTATTTCAAATAACGAATTAAGTGCTATAAATCTTGTCCGTTTGTGTATCTATCTACGTGAAAATATACATTCATCCTTTTATAATCTATTACTATTTCCATCATCTATATACCTAAAGGATTTTGGCTTAACGCCATAGGTTCTGTTTAAAATTTTACGGTATTATACATTAAGTATAGTGCTTAAAACCTTAATGTTGTTTAGGGAGTTTTAAAAAATCAGCTAATTTTCTCGAAGATATTGGTACAATATTAACTTAAATTAGCCTTAGAATATTTTCTAAACTAAATTTAGCAAATATAACTATTATAACTCGGAACTTATTGCCATGATTCGATTATCCTGTATAGAAAAACTCACTTATCCTTCAAGGACAAGTAGATATTATCAGTCTTTTTCACGTATCTACGAATACATGAAAATCGCTTGGTACTCACTCTCTACTCCTTTCTAAATATGTAGACTACCGGCTAGGTCCATAGGCATAGTTTACCAACCACATATTCATTTGAATATCTTCATTCGTTCATCCCATCTCTGAACCATCGAAGTATTCTACTATTAATGTTTCTTACAATTTTTTTTTTCAACTTAAACAGGTTGCAATTCACCCTCTGTCGAAACCTGGACTTTTGAGTCCACACCGACTAAACTGTGTCTGAATGATTGCATTAATACTACTAGGATGCTTGTTAGTTACATTCCCAATGTAAAAGAAGTTCATCGTCCTCTGAAATACCAATACCCATGCTCATTTGAATTATTCGGATGCCTGGAACTGTATGAAGATTGAATAGTTCATACAGCGTAAACAGTACATCAACACACTATTTTATACACGCACATTCATAATGACTAAGATAAACCCTATATATTAAAAATTACCAATCTTTTTCTGCGATACCAAATTACGTGGCTGTTCTATTAGAAGATTATTGGTTTGAAAGCGTTACAATTTCCGATGATTTGTTTGTTATACACAATGTTCACCACAGTCAACGAAACATTATTATTCATTACGACTGTGATAGTCTCGGTCTACGGCTAGTGACGAATGTGTAGATAACTTATGATATAAAAACCACTCGTTTATCGTTGTTCTTTGACAGGTATACAAAGTGATTCAAGGTTTTGTGCCGAAAGCGTGCGATGAACTTGAACTTGTGATCGGCGACTATATTTACATAGAACAGTCGCAGTTTGACAGCTCGGCGGACGGCTGGGTGCACGGCATTTCGTGGCTCACAGGTAAACAATAGTGAACACAGTCATTGCGATGCGCGCCCTTCGAGATGTATTGCGCTTGTTAAGTTTTAAATTTGGAGGTTAGATTTGATTTCTCTTCTTTTTTTTATTGTGCTCTATTAGGTTGTAATAAAATTCCGTGAGATTTGTTATGCTTCTTCGCATGTTCATATGGTAACGTTAAATAACAAGTAGTACTTAAAAAATACAAAATTGTTTTAATAAATACATAATTGTAATAATTCTGTGCATTCTTTTGATGTTATTAACGTTATATCATGTAACTTACATGAAGTAACATGCTATGAAATCACGCTACGATTACGGACAAGTGCAAGATTACATATCCTATAAATAAGAAGTGAGATAATGTTCATTTGGCTTCAAACAAATATGAACTTGTGACGCGCTCTCATTTATTTAATTTTTTGACTTCATTTTCCAATGGATTAAGGTTTTATCACTTGTGAATGTTACCTGAGTATTAATAAGATTCTGTTGACTCAAACATAATAATTATGTGGTAAACATATAAAATATCTCATTCCAGAAGATAAAATTATAAATAATGTAAAGGAACAAATACTTGTTTCTTACTGCTTTGAATAGGTTAGGGTTAGCCTTTCAGTTCAAAAATCAGTTTGAAAATTGCGATAGCGTTAGTAAGGGACTCCTTTAAGTGATGCTCAACATGATTTTTTTAAAAACAGGTCGACTGTTACCAATTTACTACTTTCCAATTATTCCATAACTGAGGGTATGGACAAAGGATTCCAAGTAAATTGTATTTATACGGATTATAGTAAATGCTTCGACCGTCCCAGTCAGATAACAGCTACCGATCGAGCCGAGGTCCGGCCCTCTCGGGCACCCTAGAATCGGAATGCTAAACGAGTGCTGAGTGACAGCTCAAGCCGAGGTCCCCTCTCGGGGACCCTTGAGCCTGATCACTCCATGGAGCACCCGCCAAAGCGCCCTAAGAGCTTGCCGGCGTCCCAAATCGGTGAAAATAATAGCGTGACGGCCCGAGCTGAGGTTCCTACGGGAGTCCCCGAGCTTAGTCACCATAACGCGTAATAATAATACGCCGAGGTTCAGGCTAGGCGCCCCGAGCGCCCGGCCACCTCAAGTCCGTCGGATCTGTAAAGGCCCCGTAAGGCCAACAGTGGCTCATCCAGCCAAAAAAAAAATCTGATACTTTTCAATAAATCTGATTTTTTCAGTTCAAAAATCAGTCAATCATCAGGTTAGACTTTCAGTCCCTTACTAACTATCGCAATTTTCGAACTGGCCAGTGCTTTGGGGACAGCATCCCAGCGATGAAGCCATATCCATGTCCCACCTTTGACGACTTCTATACGGAATCGGTATGGTAAGATGATTTTCTGATTAATGGTATCTATCACGTAGGTGTCTCCGGTTTCCTACCTGGAATCTACGTGCAGAAAACGGCCGAATCCGACGCGTGGACCCTACACCGCGCCGTTTCACTTGGATCAAGTAACTGTAAGGATGATCCGTTGTTGAATATATTTTTGTTGTGTAATACAAAACATTTAACGTATATCGGTAAGATCATAGACGCTTAAACACGTTAATTCATACATTAGTTTAGATTTAACTACGAATCTGTTAATGGAAACGATCGAGTTATGCAAAAAATTATCATCACCATAACCTTCAGAGTCTGTTAAAGCCCAATCAAAATATTCAAATTGAACATAGACGTGACTGGGATTAAACTGGTCATAATCAACATTACAGAGTATCGTATCAAATTTATCAAAAAAGGAAAGGAATATACAGCGTGTCGTTACTACCACGACAATAAATGAACACACAAAAAACATTTACTTTCTTTAAACATCAATATTTACCGAGTTATAAAAATTTACAAAACAAACATTTTTAGAACACCCTTATGTATAAAACTGTAACGTAAAGTTCATTTGTAAAGGTCACAAAGCATATGAATGTGTTGAATGAATTTAAAAGAGATAAATTATACTGTTAGAAGGAGAGGCTTATTTATTAGGCTTACTTATATTAGTATGAATCAGTCAGTTGTAGTTGTATAGGTGTTACAAATTTTGTTTCTTTTTTATTTAATTCGTTCGTTTGAAAAATATATTTTTTTAATTATGGATTTTTTTAACGCTTTATATTTTTTTATGATTATTGACAAGTAGCATTAAAGGTGTGTTCATTGTTATTTGACGCGGTTGTAATGTCACGCTGTATATACTAGTGTTTGATTCCAGTTTTTTTAAGTTAAAAGAAGTACTTTTGGCGCGTTAGGGAAAAATGATGAGAGTAAATTTTTACGATGCGCGCCCACACCATCACGAAAAACCGACACCCTAAAGTTAGACATCTACGTATGTTTGCGTGAGAACTGGCAACTGTATATTTATTTTGTGATATTTAAATAAACTTTATTTAACTAGATAATGCGTTATAATAAAACTTTCAATGTATTAAATACTTTTTTCCTATGTCTATTGTTAGTGTCGTTTTTTCTACAAACGTATAATAAGGCGAAAGATAAAATTATTGAAAAGATTTTTATCTTGTTACGCCAAAGAAGTAGTAACTTCTAACGCGTGTACACACACTTTTTTTGTTGGTTCACTTGATTTACAAATAGGCATTTTAAAAACTAGAGTTTAGAATAAAATAAAATACTAGTCTTTGATAAGCATTTTCCTTTAATGTTTGCTGATTACATATTTTCAAACTGCAATTAATTAACAGTGTTTTTTCAAACGCGGTGTTCGTTTATGCTATATTTAGAAAGCAATGTACCATTATTTCGGTGGTTTGTCTCTTCGTATTCTCTCGTGTAATTTGGCACTCATTAAATCTAATAAGAGCTTATCAGAGACGTGCTATAACCTCACATTAATGTTTGTCGTAGGTACATTTCAGTTGATAATATATTTAGGCTTACATTTATGTATTTGGCGCGGAAAATGTTTAATATTATAAACATCGTTAATGCACAACTCTATGATTTTTAAAAGACAAATTAGACGGAAGAAGAGTAATTTGACGGAATATTTATTGCTTTTTTGCAATGGTAGTCCACAATTTAAACACTATTTTTTTTGTTGTTACCTCGATTTTCATTGAAACTAGCCGGTCAGTAGTTAAGTTTAATTAAAACTTGTGAGATAAAAATGAGCAAATTACAGCATGTGCTATTAGTGCACTGCCATTTATTTTGAAGTCTTTCTAGGATACACATATATTTGGATGTGAATATGTAACTACGCACATAGTATTTCCTTAGGTTGTTATAATTTCCAGACATGGAGGGCAAATCATCGGACTCCGAGGGGAACGCGGAAGGTGAAATGTCCAACTACCCACACGAGGACGCGTCGGCCCTCGGCCTCGAGAAGTCAGAAGAAACCTACAAGGAGTGGGAGAAGTACTGGCGCGAGGTCCAGAACGACCGAAGCGAGAGTATTTTACGAATAACCCAGGGTCAGTATAAATAAGGCGTGCTTACTTCCCACAGCCTAGTATCTTATCCTTTAAACGAGCAATTCTTGTACATATATATATATCTAATCTAATCGGAATCTTTGAAACGGCTCCAGCGATTTTCATGAAATTTAGTATGTGCGTAGATTTGGGGGCGAAAAATCGATCTAGCTAGGTTTAATTTTTAGAAAATGTCCTTTCATCCCTGTTTTCAGGGAATGAAAAATATCATTCGAATATGACAGTAAATTTCGCCGTAAAAAAAAAATTATAATAGCTCAGTCGGTAATCGGGCGACCCCAAAACAGACAGCCGCGGTTCGTATCACGATCATTTACACGCTTATTTTTTTTTCCTTTTTTTTCTATACCAAATCATTTTCTTTATTTTTTTTACTTCCAAAATACATGATTTACCAAAAAAACCGAGCAAAGCTCGGTCCTCCAGGGACTATGTATAATAACAGTACTCCGCGTCACGCATATAGAAACTGAAGCATAGTACGTAAGCCAGGCCACATGTAGATACATGCCTCCCGCACACACTTCAAAGTAGGCCGACTATTATGCGGCTCGACGGCCTATATGAAGGTACCGTTTACGTCAAATAATAAAAATCAAAAATGCCATCTTGTGATGAAAAAAAAACCAAAAAGTATCCCAGACAAAAAAATTAGGAAATTTTTATTCATCTGGTATCCCTCAAGTTACTCACACAGAGATCGTATCGTCGTTATTGCATGTTACATAGTTACATAATTTTTATTGCATATTGTATTGACCGGCTCATTCTTACGAACGAAGCACAAATGATATTCACCAAACTCTGTTATAGGTCATCGACTTTTGAAGGCAATATCTTTAACCGATGCAATATCTTTCTCTCCGTTAATAATAGATGACAAATTAAGAAAAGATTTTCTGTAAGGCCGTTGATAAATTCTCTAGTATTGATAATAGCACAACTTCAATTTTAATTAATAATACATGATTTGCAGGGACCAGTATTGATTGGAAAGCCAGTACGGGCCGCGGAGTAGGTGATTCAGAAAATAGCACGGAGAGTCTTGAAGTAAGTTTTAACAGTCTTTTGATTTTTAATTATTTCTATGGCGGGCGAAATGTTCTTTAAATTCTTGAATGTAATTTAATTGATGAGATTGGATTATGATTGACTTCGGAGAAGTTTTTGTCCGTTTGTCTATGTGTTGTTTTGTGTAACGAAGGTCTGCTATTATAATTTCGTTGTCTTCATTCACCTCTTTAGAGAGTAAAGTGTTTGTTCTATCAAAAAGAGCACTTTACTTACTAGATCGACAAACCTTGGTTTCTTTTGAAATTAAAATAGTTAATTTACAGGATTTATTTATTTTATACATCAACTTACAACTATCATTACAGGCTGTACCTAATGCGATAGTGAAGGATATAAAAATCGCTTTTCTTGAGTGTTAATTTGCCATGCACATACATTTACTGATTTGGTATTGTTAGATTTTAAAATTTCGCAAGTAATTAACCCAAAAGGTGGAATCGAAAGATTCAACCAACACAACGTTTGGAACACCAAGACAACGTTTGCAATCGCTCGGGAAGTCGATGGATGTAGTTGGCTCAGGATTGGGCTTTGTGGCAGTCTGTAGAGAGGCTAATGTTCAGCAGAGTGGACTCAAGCTGAAATACTGATAAAATGGTGAAAAGACCTTGTGATGACTGCATCTGATTTGCTAACATGCTTTTCCGTGAAAATGGTATCTATTAAGCGTTCGTTCGAACGTTTGGAATTGACGGCGAAATGAAACTTGAGAAAGCTCGTAAAATTAGTTTTATTTCAATGCCTTGTATTCGTTTACATACATTACATACAAGGAAATTTTGTGCGCGTACCTTTACTTTGATTCCGAATTTACAATACCAGTGCGATTGCAGTCGAGCCGCTCGGAGGGCCAGGGGAATCGCAGGTGGATCTTCGCCATGCGGCACGGCGAAAGGGTGGACCTCACATATGGGCAGTGGGTGCCGTACTGCTTCGACGAGAACGACACCTACATTAGGAAGGACCTGAACATGCCCCTCAAGTTGGGCGAAAGGTAAATAACACCGCGACATCAACGCGCATTCCAAATTCAATGCTGGAAATCAGTAAAATTTTACCCACATCCATAAAACATTCTTTACATATATTATGTGCATCAAAAGGTTGCCTGGAAGAAATTACTTTAAGTAATGAGGCATCCCATTGTACAACCCTTACATAATTGCAATTTTTAAAGTTCTTTTTTTACAATGGTGTGTGCAATAAATAATAATCAATCAAATGTCTGTTCGGTCGTTCGGTGCGATTGATGGCGTCATTTTGAGGAGATAATCAGAGCTGTGGGTACGTCGCATTATGCCGCCCCTAAACGTTATTTAACAGCCAAGTGACCGTTTTTACCTGAAAGTCACAATTAAGTGCACCGTGACGTTTTATACGACCCCTTTCCCCCGACCCACCAAATTGCACAGCGTAGTATTTGACAAAACAACACGGAGTCGAGCTTAGCGCGTGTAGTGTAGCGACTAGCGTTTGTGCACGCGATTGTCGGCCGGCAGGGCGGGCGGCTGCGCGTCGTACGCGCGGGACACGCCGCTGACGCGCGTGGGCCGGCTGCAGGCGTGGCTGGTGGGCGAGGGGCTGCGGCTGGCCGGCGTCAGGGTGGCGCACGTGTACGTCTCGGCGGCGCTGCGCTGCGTGGAGACCGCGCACAGCTTCCTCGAAGGTACCCGCCCGATTCTTTTGTCTGCCTCCCCCTGGGCGCCCGCCTAGCGCCACACTTCTTCCCGACGATTGTCTACGTACCTGATGCTATTGTATGATTCAGTGTGGAACGGGTCGGGTGGTAAGCCCAGACGACCACTACGACCTAGAAGATTTATTGTAGTCTTCTCTACGAGAACGTAGCCCCTTACTGTGGGATAACATTAGCCTGTTGTAAGGACGTTTTCAGAAAAAAATCTCACTTGGACAAACATCCACATCCGAAACAATTACCTGCGGGTCACCCCCGATGGTAAGTAGTGATGCAGCCGTAGATTGTAAATGCAGTAGCTCAGTAAAAGCCTATTCACTTTTGCCTTGAAGACACCCACGGTGTATTCGGATGGAAGGGCAGACGTCGGAAAATGATTCCTTTCCTTTACTGTACGCGTAACGCTGTACGAATACACTTAGTTCGAGTGAGTGACATGACACACAAAAAAGATGGAACCGTTGCCAGCGTCTTGTCGTCCTAAGGTGTAAATGAAACGAAAGAACTCATGTATTTAATAAGCACACATATTTGATACATAGTCGTTCTTATCTAATCACTAGCCCTCCGTGTAAATTGTGACGAAGAATACTAAGCTAGTCTCTTAAGGTGGACGGTGGTAAATTTTTCAATACATTTATTTGGGTATAATTTTATTTTTAAGGATGAAGAGAATATTATGATCCTGTATTTTTCAGTACTTTCTAAGGCAGCTTATACAGATAAGACAGATTATTGATGGCACCCTAGCTGAGTCTGAATAAAAAAAACGCAGAAAGTCTTAACAAAAGTGTTCCATACGTAAGATTTCAATAAGTCCGTCCAGTTAGGATATGCCATAGTACTTTTATATTTATAGATGTGATTAATGCAATTGGACAATTAAGGGATAAGCAGGTATGCAGTCCTTTTTTACACCAAACTCTCGTTTGATATGAAGAAGGGTTCTTCAATAGTCGTAATATGTTTTCACATTTAGTACATATACTTTTTTCTATTGACAGGTCTGCAGCCTGATCCTTCCGTGAAAATTAAAGTGGAACCGGGTTTATTTGAATTCAAGCAATGGTACATCCCTAGCGGCATAGCGCCTTTCATGACGCTGCGAGAGCTGCGTAAAGCTGGCTACAACGTGGACATGAAGTAAGTAAGTTTACATGGGCCGCGCAAAGCTTTAATCAGCTTCGGAAATTCGTTTGATTCAATGCAGAATACAATTCGACCACCAAATAAAATGGTTAAATTGCGACCTCTGAAATTCCTCCGAATCAATACACAATACAATTAACAACAACACAGCCTGTAAATGGATTATTAGTGGCGGGCGGGGAGCGTATTGTCTTCTCGTTCGCCCCGCAATTGCTGTCTTGCTCTCATTACAAAGTCAAATTTTCTTTTTTCAGTATAGGCTTATTTTAAGTTGTCGTTGAACGTCAAAAAATCTACCATCGGTTATCTAAAATTGACCTGTCCAGAAGAGAACCGGCAAAACGCTGGAAGTTGGGGTTAAGTCGCGTTTATCATTGTTAATGGGTTTTCCGAACTTCGATATCAGATAATGTTATTGATCAATGCACTTGACGAGTACATTACCTGTTAAGAACTTGTTTTAATTCTCCTAACGTTTTATACTACACTGTATGTTGTTTTACGTAATTATTTTTTATTATAATCTAAAATATAAGAAACTCACATGCTATAGGACAATCACGTATATTAGTAACCCATGAATGCCCTTGTTTACAGATACAAACCTTATGTTGAAGTGGACACAGACACTTCAGAGACTATAGAGCAATGGTATAAGAGAAACGAAATTGTTATGCACTCGGCCGTAAAAGACACAGCAGCTGATGGTAAAAGTCCAATTGAATTTTATATATGTATACATTGAGTATAAGCAAAATCTTCTCATTACTATATAGAAACTTGTTTACTAGGTAAGGTAAAAGATACTAGAAAACATTCATATATTATGTGAAATAATAAAACAGTGAATCAAAAATAATTAAATGGGAGACTTTTTTGTAAGATAAAATAATAATAATATACTGAGTACATTGTATAAATTACTACTCGTCTTATAAGCTATTACTAACAATAATAGCTATGGGTAAATTCAATTAACAGAGGTTATCAAATAGTTTTTACATTGAACATTTGAAATGAAGAAGCACAATACAAATTAACTTTGGATAAAAGTTACAAACCTCGTTACAGGAGGCAACATAATATTTATCGGGCACGCAGCAACGCTGGATCTGATGGTGCATGCAATGAAACGATACGGCAAAAAACGCTCGGAGCCGGTTAACTATGAAATAAGCAAAAATCTGCTACGGGTTCCGTACTGCGCACTCGGGGCAATGCGAGACAACCCTTTGCAGGTGGTTTCGCCTCCTTGCCCGCCCTCTATCAACTCTAGTTCTGGAAGGTTCGATTGGAAAATACTCTTGGATGCGTAAATTGGCCGTATATTAGATAGAACGTAGTAGACATAACTTAAACTCAAAAGGATCGTAAGACTTCAGGAAATTATGAATTTAAGAGCCACAATTTGTGAAGTTTAGTGTTGTATAACAATGTTCTGAACATTTTTTTTTTGTAATAGAGTTGCAATCTATATTTTTGGAAAATAACTTAATCTGCTCGATGTCGCCTAGTCAGTCATATTCATGTTATATTAATAGTTAATAATGTCACAAAATCTTTGTAAACTAGGAGATTTAATTAAAGATTCGGGTTTCCGGAACAAACTCCCTTCAGTGCTGTAAAATATATAATTATTTCTTAAATAGGTGTATGCTATGTGAACTAAGTTATATATATATATATATATATATATATATATATATATATGGGACATATAAAAATAATATTCAATAAAAAAAACATTGTAATAAAAAATTGATACTTGGCTGTTTATTAACAACATGTCAATTTCTTTTCTTTATATAAATATTAGTAATATCTATTAGCTTCATGGAAGATTAAACTTGTTACTATATAGAAGTCATAAAAGTTTAAGAGACATTTGAATCAATTTCTTTTTAGTTCCTGATTTATAAATCTCGCCAGTTTCATATTTAATTTTACAATATCCTGCTGTTTTCTAACATTAGTTATTTATTGCTAAAAATATGAAATTACTTAATCTGTGCAAATTTATTTACATATATACGAAATTAAATTATGTCTGTTAGAAAGAAATAAAATTCACAATCATGAATTGTAATAATAGCTGACAAATTGCATTTAGCTTGACAAAAAATCTATGTTTAATACACATTCACACGAGTTTTTTTAACATTTTACATTTAATATGAAATTTAAAACAATTTTATAAGTGTGGCAATATCTTTGCTGTAAGTATATTGTTCTTTAGCTTCCAGACCCTTTGTATTATAGTGCCCAGTTTGGGTACTAACAATACTTTTCTGTCTTTGCACATCTGCTCTTAACTATGTTACAAATAAGATGGCAGTCACCCTGAATAAAGTATCTGTTAAAAAATCATAAGCTACTATACTATATGTATTTTATTTATTATTTTATACTTTTTGTTTTAGTCACTTCAATAATTTTCATATTACTGTAAATAAAAATATAGAGAAAATATAAAATTGAACCCACATTTTTGGTGCGCTCCTGTCTTTTTTCGATTAAGGATGTTTGACCAAATTTTTAGTATACTAGATTGGCGATATACTGAAGGAAGGCTGTGTAAAAATTGTTGCGAAACTTTCTGGGGTTCTGGGTTAGGCTAGATATTTGGTGTTAAAGTAATAAGACAGCAGTTTATGAGTAGATATGATGAAGGCTTATTAATACAGACCAGATGATCTAATTGATAGAATGGAAAGATTTCAAAATTTGAAGTATTATAAAATTTTTAATGATTAAACTTTATACAAACAACAACATCAAAAAATCTGTAGTTACGACGAAAAAACTGGGTCTCCTCTTAATTGGCACAAAATCTGGACATATAGTATCCACATCTACCATATCAATAAGAATATAGAGATCAAATGTTACTTAAGTAGAATTAACAAGTAAATATAAACAATAACTAAATAATGTAGTTAAAAGTATTAAATACTTATATTGATTTTGTTTTCTTTACTAGAATTATAGCTCATTTTTTCAGCAAGCACTTCTTCCACGATTTTCTGTATTATTTGTCTATCTTCCCCTTTGATATCCTCTGGTTTAGTTTTATCGTCGTAAATTTTCCTATCTATTAGCCTGACAATAACCTCTTCAACTATGGCATCTACATTTTCATTAGTGCGATTATCTGCGTTTTCAATAAACTTTTCCACTGTGACATTTTCATCCTGTATCGGTTCAGATTCAATCTTTGGTTCACTAACAACTTTAGTGGTTTCTTCCTCTAATACAGTTTCTATTTCCGGTGTATCCCCTCTTCCGTCTTCTTTCTTAACTTCAATCTTATGATCAGATATTACAGTTCCGGAAAGACCGTCAGCAATATGCTTGTGTCTTTTCATAATTTCTCTCAACTTTTCTTTGGCAGACGCTACAACCGCTCTACGGGTTTCCGATTTTATTTTGTCAGCTGCTTTTTTCTTTCGTTCTTGTCTGTAAGATTTGAAATCGTTAGTCGCTTTTTTAGGTTTTTGAATGAAATCTTCAACTATATTATCCTCAAATTTAATTTCTTCGTCTATTTCTGTAATCACTTTTGAGATTTCTTTGTCACTTTCATTTGTTGTTTCTTCAATAGTTAAGTTATCTAATGAATAAGTCTCATCGGATTCCTTAGAAGACAGATTTATACTGGTTTTATTTTCCGGCCCTTTATCTTGGGCATTTGATTGTTCGGTGTACATTTCTTTTGTTTCAATTTTTTCAGTGATAATAATGTGTTCTGGAGCATGACTAGTTCTTTGGTAATCCCTAAAATTCTTCTTTTCTAAAATAAAAAGTGCCGGTCGGGTTTTGATTTTTACTGGCGGTATTAATTTATAATTGACAGAAACGTGTGAAAAAGTCTCAACACTGTCTAATATTACATGCGTTTGTGTAAAAGATTTCAGAGTCGGTGAATATTTGCTCTTAGCTTCCACAAGAAGATGAGTGTACTCTTGCAACTGTTCTGGTTGTAATGATTCGTTTTTACTATATATCCAGTGGTCGTGAATTTGCGTGAATCTGGTAACACCTGTCTGTGCTGCTAAGTTACATATATGTACATGTACGAATGGCTCATTTTTCAGAAGCTTATGAAACCTGTAAGAAATTAAATAACGTAAATTAAATCCACACACTAATTTGACTTAAGCCTGATATTTCACTTTAAGTCAACAAAGCCTGCAAAATAATTAGGGCACCTTCATTACGATAAAATATAAATACAGCCATCAATATATCCAAAAACATTATTTAATTATTCTCACCACTAAAATCTTCCTTTTTACCTTACTAAAATCATTCATTCCATACCATATATATTTTTCTTAAATTCTTAATCAGTACATCCCCATTTAGTATACTTTATAATTCTACTTGATAAGTTCCTACCCTTTTCCTCTGTAGGCAAACAGCCATTCATCATGGTTACTTGGGACAAACAAAGTTTATTTGTATTTCGTGTACATCTTCAAATCATATTTTTTTTTTCCAAGTTTAATTACAATGTATGTAAATGTGCAATTTTGTTCGATAATCCATCATTTCAGCTTATTTGAGTCCATATCCATATCTGAACATAAGTCTCCTCCACAGTCTGCCACAAATAACGATCCTGAGCTACTGGCATCCATCGAATATTCATACATATATTTGTATTAAACACTACCTATAAAATTCAAGGGACTGAAATAGGTCAGAATCTGAGGGTGAGTCAGGACCATATGGTGGATGCATTATTAACAACCAAATTCAATTTTTACTGAGTTGCTAACATTGAGTGTGGTTGTGTTGGTTAAGTCTCATCAGCTGTTGGCAGAATCGACTTTTTTGCCCGACGGTAAAAGCCTGTAATGAAGCCCTTCCAATTCCACCATATGCACAGTATCACCTAATTGCGTGTTGATCCGAGTTTCACTAAAGTCTATGGAACTTGACTGCCTCTGGACCATGACCTTTATCGCACGTTCTTGTGAATATCGTAGGTGATTCACTTTTTATCACCACAATGGATCGATTTAATTACGTTTAAATCAGAAAATCACGAATGAGTACCACACCCATAGCATATACAATAACTTCATACAAACAAAATACGATAATACTTTTTCTCCGACTAATTATGTTATAAACTTAAGCTTATCAGTCTTGTTGAGAGCTAAAAGGGAAGATATATCGATCCAAGCTTACACTTTTCATCCACAGTAAACATACTTTCCAGGTTATTTATTTAAATTATATTTATATTTAAATAATACGTACTTAGTAATCGCCAATCCACCTGGATAATTTGTCAATGCGACCAAAACGAGGGCAGCACAGAAAACAACATTTGCGATTATGATCATGCAAATACCCCAGAAAATTAACTCGTATACAGGCGCTTTAGTTCGTCTTATGAACCTGAAAAATAAATACTTATGTAAACATACACTATTTTGTTTTGTTAAAACTAAATTTTTGTTTAATAATAAATAAAATTAGATTAAAACGAATAATTATCATATCTTACATATCTAA